CACTGAGCCCTGTCAGTAGGGAGTGTGCTTGAGAGTCTCTCTCCCACTTTCCTTGCCCCTCCACCTAGTATGAGCAAGCATGTGCATTCTCTCTCTCTCTGAAATAAATAAATACGCCTAAAAAAAAAAAAAAGGCCACTGAAATTAGGTATCCCTACCACAGGAAAAACCAGAAATGAAAGGGCTGAAACAGCATAAAGGGGTAGGGATGCCTGCATGGCTCAGTTGGTTAGGCATTCAACTCTTGGTTTCCGTTCAGGAGTTGGGTTGTCCCTATCTCTCTCCTCTCTTGCACATGCACACTCTTGCTCTAAAATAAATAAATAAAATATTTTTAAAAATAAAGCATAATGGTAAACTATGGAAGGTATTTTTTCCTTAGTTCACCAATTCCAAATATTTTAAAAGTTGAAGGAAATTCATCACGGCTCTCTGTTGTACAACTTGGCTCTAAGCCAACTGATCTATGAAAACAAGAACTTCAGCCAGCAAAATATTTTCTTTGGGTTTTGGCAAGAAAACAGCTCTACAAAGACTGATTTGGAAAGAAGAGAAAACAGCCAAGTCTAGTAGATACAATCAGAAAACAATTTATACAGGATAAGTCCCATAAAGATCCCTGACAAAATATTATACAAGAGCTATGATTTGATTTCTTCTCAGTTTCTCACTTTTTATTACTTCACATTAAAGAAGCAAAAGAATATATAACAGTTCTTAGTTCGTAGTTCTCAGGCTTCACTCTGTTTAAGAATCATGCACAAGGCTTTCAGATTCTGTACATCCGGGATAAATCCTGGTAATTTGCATTTCTAACAAGTCCCCAGGAATGTGCTGAAGATGGTGATTTGGGAACTGTCCTTTGAGAAGAAGTGTAATCTTGAACTCTAGGGAAAGTCCAAGGTTTTTCTTAAAGATATATTTATCTTATTCAAAGACGCCAAAAAATTATCATCTACCTTTCTAAAAGTGACATGATCTTTCCTTCCCTCTTCTCCCATTAAAAAAGGAAAAGAAATGTCAAGGAAAAAGTATTCTGTACTCCACAAAGGTTACTGAACAGTGAATTCAGATCCCTGCATATTTCACTGATTCTGTGAAGCACACTTTTTCCTCATTTTAACATCCCTGTTAAATGTATGAAATAGAGATGCATCTTATTACTGTCATAGTCTGGCAATGTCTTGCTTTTTAGTGCATCCTAAAATCAGAGCCCAGATTATCTTATAATCAAGTACGTCTTAGACTTGATGAAATATAGTATTAAATTACAAGGATAGCAAGGCTCTTAGGGAATTTAATATGTTTAACTTCAAAAAAGGATGAGGTTGGGACACCTGGGTAGCTCAGCGGTTGAGTATCCGCCTTTGGCTCAGGGCGTGATCCCAGGGTCCTGGGATTGTGTCCACCATCGGACTCCCTGTGAGGAATCTGCTTCTCCTTCTGCCTGTGTCTCTGACTCTCTCTGTGATCCCTCATGAATAAATAAAACCTTTAAAAAATAAAATGAATAAATAAAAAAGGATGAGATTGCATAGAAAAAATACAACCTTATATCCTCATACTCTGGGGTAATTTGTAAGGTCTCTAGAAGAAAATATGTAATAGTCCATGGTACTCAGTGGCTAGATGTCAATGCTCAAAAATTGTCTTTATTAAAAGAGCAGAGATCTGAAGTGCAAGCATTTTCTAAAACGGAAATGATACTGCACAATCTTATATTTCAAAACTATCGAGTGTTATGTAAGCCTACCTTCCAATCATAATAGCCTTGTTGGACATGCAAGGCAAATATTTCCAAACTGAGCAACCTGAAGCCCAAGAGATGTTAAAGGCTTTACCCACAGTACAGGGAAAAGGCTGGGCCCAGAACTTGTTTCTTTTGTTTCTAGCTTCTGTGGTCTAGCCAAATACGTACTGAGTTGTGTCTTTATCCTTGGACCTTCTATTTGATTTCATAATGATTAAAATTTAACTGTTCTGCCACAAAATGTGGTATTGAGAAGTTATTGAAATCTCAATTGATCTATTCCTCATTAGTAAAATGAGGCATTTGGACAAGATAACTACGGCTCTTCCAACTTTACAGCTCTACAATTCTAACATTTTCCATATTATCCTTAACACAGAGGGGACTGAGTCTGAAAAGAGTGAAAGGAACTTTATTTACTTAATTTTTCCTCTTTTCACAGAGTTCTCTCCAGAGACTCAATGAGCACCTTCTGTCACCACTATAGGAGCCAAGACAAGATTTTTTTTTCACTTGGATTGCAAATTTTTTGGTGCTTGGCAAATAAAATATGCCTCATTCTGAAATTAAAAAATGCCAAACAAAAACATCTATTTTTTACTTTCTATATATAAACAGAAATCCACCTGAAGTTTTTCAAAAGTGCACAGGTTTTTTTTTTTTTAAATTTTTAAAAGAAAAGAAACATTATCCTAAAAAATTACTTTGGACTGTTACTCCATAAAATATTTTAGTCCTACAAAACATAGGAGTGTTCATGCACTTCAAGGAACTCAGAATGAATAAGAAGCTGTAGTTAACCCAAATCACAATAAAGGGCTGAAAATATTTTCTGCTTGAAAAATCTACTTCCTTAATTTCTATTGCTTGAAAAATCTACTTCCTTAATTTCTGTCAAACATTACTTTAAATTACTCTGAACGTATTTGCCTCTAATTACATAAACTCTTAGAAGTACAGAACCCCCAGTGACCAGATTTATAGACACCAAAAGAACTCCTGAAAAATTAAACACATAAAAATAAATGTAGACTTACTACTTTTATTAGGCTACCTAATCAAATGATTCCAAACTACAGGTAATGTAATAAATGGCTCTTTCAAAATGGTCAAACACTACTTTGGGACAGTGGTTTGTACTTTAGCACACATGCATTAACTTCTACTAAAAATGTCCTAGAAAAAGAATGAGACATCACTAACATCTAAACAGAGATCTTCTTAAATTTTAGTGGTTAAATACAATACTTTGCTATTTTTAGAACCTAAATTTGGCAGTTTTCTATTCATTTCTTTAATTGATCCTCATTCAACATTCCCCTGGAGGCATCTCTGAGTAGTAATCACTGGACTCAAGATGCTATGATAACCTAGGTGACACTGGTCTAACTGCTACTGTCACCCTATTTGTATCCTTATAGACAGTCTTTTTTTTTTTTTTAAGATTTTATTTATTTATTAATGAGAGACAGAGAGATAGAAAGAGAGAGAGAAAGAGGCGCAGAGACACAGGCAGAGGGAGAAGCAGGGTCTGTGCAGGGAGCCTGAGGTGGGACTTGATCCTAGGACCCCAGGATCAGGCCCTGGGCTGAAGGTGGTGCTAAACCGCTGAGCCACCCAAGCTGCCCTCTACAAGTCTTAACAGGTATCACTACAGTTGCCTTCTCCAATATAAGTTGTAAGGCATTGTGAAATTCATTCTCACAAGTGGATTTTAATTCTACACGTTTTGACAGAGCATCAAAGAACGTGTCAAGATTTAGGTTGGGGACCTAAATCTTAGGTCAGTCTGTACAGCATGCGACTCTTGATCCCAGAGCTGTGAGTTTGAGCCCCATGTCGGGTGTAGAGATTATTTTAAAATAAAAAAAAAAAAAATCAGGGGCACCCCAGTTGCTCAGTGGTTGAGCGTCTGCCTTTGGCTCAGGTCATGATCCCCGGGTCCTGGCGTCAGAGTCCTGCATCAGGCTCCCCGGGGAAAGCCTGCTTCTCCCTCTGTCTATGCCTCTGCCTTTCTCTGTCTCTCATGAATAAATATGTAAAATCTTTAAAATAAGTAAATAAATAAATTATAATAAATCTTTTTTTTTAATTAAGGATGTATAGTTTTTAGTGAAGGGAATCATGAAAACCTATTTTCATTAGTTCACTGAACTACTGTAAAAAAAGATTAAGCTTTACACACACCCATGCATGTGTGTGTGTGTGTGTATATATAAATATATGTAAACAATAGGCAACATTAGGCACTCAGTATTTTTGAGGGCACATAGGAACAATACAGAAGTTTAAATATAGCCCATCTAGCCTAACTTTATCCCCCAAACCCCAAACTGATTAGAAACACTAAATACACTATATCTTGGAAGCACAAAAATTCTGCATGATCAAAACCAGCCAACTCCCATATCTTATTCCCGTTAAGACATATCGGTCTAGGCATTCTTTCCCCCACTGCTAGATATATTCTGTGGATTGAATGCTGGGAGGCCTGGAATGAAATACAAGAATGGAGGAGGGGGGAGGTCTGCGATAGCTCTCCCACAGTAACCGCCTTCCTTTATGTAACCTCCACAGCGGCTCTGAAACCTGACAAAGTGAAAAAGATTCCTGAACTTGGGCGAAGGACTCATTCTGTAGGGCTCAATTTTCTCACCTGTAAAATGGAGCAAAACAGTATCTTAGAGTTATGACGATTAAACAATGCATGCAAAGTGCACACACAGTGCCCTGCACCGAACTAAGAGTTCAGGAAGTTGTCCTCTCCAAAACTGCTATTTCTGAAAAACCACTTTCCCATTCTTTCTCAGGGGCAAGAACGGGTAAGATCAAAAGATACAAACAAAGAATGAAAAAAAGGAAATTCAGAGAGATAATGCAAAACCGAAAGAGCTCCCAAGAGCCCCTCTTCGTTATCGGCAGGGGAAAGAGAAGACACCGGAGTGGACCCAGACCTACTCGTTTCCTGCCGCAGAACTGGAAGCGCAAATACCGGCGGGTGTGCACGGAGATAAACAAACTCGGTGGCGCCGCCCTCTCCCCCGGAGCTGGGAAGGAGGTGCTGGGGCGACTCCGGGCCGGGCTCGCATTCCTGCAGGATGCGCAGGGTGAAGCACTCGAGCCCCCACGGTCTGGACCGCCCCCCTCTGCACTCCCAGCTTCCACGAGACCCCAGGGCCGACCGCCTCACCTCCACCAGCCGGCAGCTCCCGGGAACAAAGTGGATGGAGAGCTCGTTCTCCCGCCCCACCATGCCCGCCGTCTTCGCGCCGCCGCCGCCGCAGCGACCGCCACTTCCTCCAGCCCGGGAACGCCGAGGGCCGCAGCTCCGTCGCCCTGGGCCCGCCTCCCTAGCTCCGGGCCCGGCCCCCGCTCTCCGCTTCCGGCTTCCGCCGCCAAGGCCGCGCCCGCTGATTGGCCACGCTCAGCCGATGCCCCCCCAAAAGGGGGCGGGCGCGTTCAGGACGCTCCCAGCCCACTCGCCAACTCTTAAAGGGATACGCCAAACCGAGGCCTCGGCCCTACGCAGCGAACACAAGTTTGGGATTTGGGAGGGGTTATTTTGTGTACTTTTTTTTCCTCTTTGCCTTTGTTCTGGACTCGGGAAAGATTGGACTGGATCGCCTGGCTTCTCAAGTTTGCAGACTGCGCAGCGCGTAACAGTGAACCGGGCTTGTAATACATTACGTGAGAGCAGATATTTTAAAGCCAGGGGTGGGTTTGGGGAGGACGAGGAGGGAGGACCGCAGACATCTATCCCTGCAGCTACAGGAGTGGGGTCTTGTGGGGGTTTTTCTTGTTTTGTTTTGTTTTGGTCCAGAGAGTCAGAAAGGCAAAGAATAAAAATACAAGTGTCGGTGAGTCACGGACACCTCGACAACCCGTTTGTCTTCCTGGGATGTTCTAAAGTGGTACGTGTGAAATTCCAAATAAGTCAAAACTATTTTTAACCGAGTCCGAAATAAAAAGCGACGGGTTCGGGGGAGGAATGATCCGGGGGCCGCTTCATCGTTCGCAGACTCCCGGACTTTACCCATAAACGCAGAACGAGGCTCTGCGAGGTCGAACCGGGGAGTCCAGGCCCCACTCGAGCCTCGCTCGGGTCGGGCCCGGCCTCCGCAACCGCCGTCCAACACCGAGGAAGCCGAGGGGACCCAGGGGCACGCCAGGCCTTCCTTCCCCGCGCCTCCGGCTTCTGAAAAGTAACGAATCAGCTGCACGCCCCCCCTCCCCCACCCCCCAGGGTGGAAACGGCCCCCGGGGCAGCTGGGTTCCCTCCCAGCTCAGAACTGCGGCGTCCGCTCGGTCCCCGCGCGCGCGATTCCCTCGGGCAGAGCCCGGCGGGGGGCACCAGCCAGACCGCTAGGCCGCCCACGCGCCTGGCCGCCGGCGGGGGGGGGGGGGGCTTCTCCTCAAAGGCCTTATTTTGATAGTCCCCGTTTGCTTGTTTTTAGAGCTAAAGACTAAGCAGCCTTTTGGAAAAGTTTTCCTTTGTCTGAGCCCCGGAGTCTCCTTTCTACCCAACCCCCCAACCAGAACTCCTTTCCTTACTCGAGTAAACAAGCTTTCTTTGGACCGGGGGATGGGGGGGGATGGGGGGGACGAGAGCCTGAGGCCTCGCACTTTCCGATCTTTGGACCGGGGGATGGGGGGGGATGGGGGGGACGAGAGCCTGAGGCCTCGCACTTTCCGATCTTTGGACCGGGGGATGGTGGGGGGATGGGGGGGGACGAGAGCCTGAGGCCTCGCACTTTCCGATTTTTTTTTTTAATTTAATTTTTACCCGAGCTGTTCCTGTTCATCGAGTTTCGCATTATTCAGAGAGTCCTTGAGAGGACTGGCCCAGCGCAAAACGCTCATAATCTGCAGACAAAGAGGGTGGGAAGGGGAGGCAAATTCAAGATCCGACTAATCCTTTTCTTTAAAAGTTGGATTTTGTGGTTGTTAATTTCTAGATGCGCCGCGTTGATGCAACCGGATCCTTCTGGTTTAAAAAAAATTAAGTATCCAGTGCGAACAGTTAAGCACATGCATATGCGATTGCTTTTTTTTTTTTTTTTTTTTTTTTTTAATTTTTCAGAGCAGCCTTGTCCGGAGTTAGGAACAAGAGCTTTTTTTGCCCTTTGAGAATCTGGGTTGACACGTCCCAGGTAAAACTTGAGTCTAGTTCGAGAGACATACTGTGTTCGTGCACAGTTTTTAATCATTCTCTTTAAAAATGAAAGTTTCTCCGTGAACAAAAATGCCACTGTCGTACTGACAAAATCCAAGTGCCTGTGGTGGCTAAATCTATGAATTTAAAGAGGGTAGCCTGGAGCTAAAGTTAGGTTAGCAATTCAATTCTTGCTAAGACAAAGAAAGGCTGGAGCACACAATTACCGATAAAATCCTTTCTTATATAGAACCTTCACCGACACCATTGCATTTAATCCAGTAAAAGAAACTGCTGTTCTGTTTTGCATTTTATTTTTTTGTCAATTAATGAGACTTAGCTGAGCTCTTCAAAGCCTGGTTCTCAGGTCAATCATTAAAGTTGGCTGATTCTTCCATGTCCCAAAGTTACATGTTTTAAAGAAATGAATGACGCCCACTTCTTTTTCCTTTTTCTTTTTTTAACTCACCCTTTTGGTTTTTACCATTCACTGGGATGCTTTTTAAAGAAACTAACTCCAGAATGCTTCATTTCTTGAATAGCTAGCTCTTACCTGTTCCATGTCCTCCGGCATTTCAGGCATGATTCCAGAATTACCTCGGGAAAACAGATTTGGGATGAGCCTCAGCCTCTGCCTCTTTTGCCTGGGTCTTTGTTCTGCCTGAAGAGAGCGCAGGCACGCAAAAACGTGAGCCCCAGCTTCACTCGACCTTTTAAATTAGCATTTTGATTCCAATCCCAGAATCTCATGCAGTTTTCCACATTGCAGTAAACTGGCAGCTGATTCCCCCTGGCAGTCTTGAAAATACCCAATGAGAAGTTTTATGTTTAATTGCATGCCAAGTTAGGGTCTATTAGCAAAACCATTAGGAGAACCAATTTAAAAAAAAAAAGAAGAAACAAAGAAACAAACAAAAAAACTTCCTGTGAAGACTTGTTGCAATTTTCTTGCAGAAGAAAAGCAAGACTCACAGTTGGAAACCACACAGATCTTGCAATTGAGTCCTGAAATATTTTATTCAGTTATGCCTTACTGCAACAGAGTCTTGGTAAAGTTTTTCAGTGCTTTTCTGCCTAGTATCTTCTTTTTTTTTTTTTTAAGGTTTTATTTATTTATTCATGAGAGACACAGAGAGAGAAACGGGGGCGGGGGGGGGGGGAGGGCAGAGACAGAAGCAGGCTCCATGCAGGGAGCCTGATGTGGGACTCGATTCCGGGACTCCAGGATGACACCCTGGGCCAAAGGCAGGCGCTTAACCACCCAGGGATTCCCTGCCTAGTATCTTCTAATTAACTATTTCGAAGAACAGTAAAAGACACTGGTGGTAAGAGCACCCAAAAATTAAAATGCAACAGGTCATTTCTATTAACATTATGCTGCCGTCTGACAGAAAATTGTAGGTGGAGTAGCTTTAAGTTAGGCTAAGCATCAAGGACTTCTAGATGAATAATTTGCAAACCTGCCTGTATCACCAAACCCGAAACAAAATCATTCTATGGGAATGGAGCCCAGCAATCTTATTTTTAACAATTTTAAGGACAGTGAACATGCTTAGTTAAATTTTGAACCATTGTTCTGGACTATGGCTCTGTAACCACTTAAGAACAACAACAACGAAATGCCATTTCGATAGAGCTAAGAAAAAAAAAAAAAACACTTAACCCTTTATTCCAGACATTTCCAGCACATAGCACATAGTAAACTCTACAAAACATGTGGAAGGTCTATAAGTAATGGAAACTATACAATTTTTAAAAATTGATAAATTTTATCAAAATTAAAAACTTGTATCCATCAATAAACAATATTAAGAAAATAAATAAGCAAATCACAGACTGAGGGGAAAAAAACCTTTATACATATATCCAAAAAAGAATTATAGTCAGAATATTTAAAGAACCCTACTGAAATTGCTCAAAAGCATAAACTTGAAGGACACCTGGCTGGCTCAGTTGGTAGAGCATGTGACTCTTGATCCAGGTTGTGAATTCAAGCCCCAAGTTGGGGGTAGAGATTGTTTAAATAAATAAATAACTTATTTTAAAAATGCATAATGGGCACCTGGTTGGTCCCGTTGGTTTCAGCTCAGGTCAGGATCTCAGGGTCTCAGCCCTTAGCTGGTGTATGCTTGAGTTTCTCTCCCTCTTCCTCTGCCCCTCCCCCCCCGAAATAAAGTCTTTAAAAAAAATTAAAATTTTAAAGCATAAAGTTGAACAAAAATCAAAAGGCTGGACTAATGCTTCAGCAAAACTTGATTTTAAACAGAGTAATCTTTTCCCTCTCTCCCACAAACCTCCCTCCTCCCTTCTGCAAGGGATCGCAGTACCACCCTGATTGCAGTACCAACTACAGAGGCTGGCCGCACAAACTTAATTCCTGTGGGAACTGGCTAGCTCATCTGTTCCCCTGTAAAGCCCCCAGCCCCTTTCTCCAGGGGGGCTTGCAGTTTTTGAAAACCTGCTGCAGCTTCCTTTGCCTGACAAGACAATAAAACTGTTGTTACTCTTTATTCCACACTGTCCTTGTGTTATATTTTGGCTCCAGAAGAATAGAGGTCAGATATCAACAACACTACAACTTAATAATTTTTAAACATCATTTTAAAAATGGACACATTTGGGGATCCCTGGGTGGCGCAGCAGTTTGGCGCCTGCCTTTGGCCCAGGGCGCGATCCTGGAGACCCGGGATCGAATCCCACGTCGGGCTCCCGGTGCATGGAGCCTGCTTCTCCCTCTGCCTGTCTGTGTCTCTGCCTTGTCTCTGCCTCTCTCTCTCTCTGTATGACTATCATAAATAAATAATTTTAAAAAATGGACACATTTTCAACAGATACTTCACAAAGATGTAAGAATGGTTAATAATCATATAAGAAAAAGTTCAACATCTGGGAAATGCAAACTAAAATTATATTGAGGAGCACCTCGGTGGCTCAGTGGTTGAGCGTCTGCCTTTTGCTCAGGTCATGATCCAGGGGTTCTGGGATCAAGTCCTGCATCAGGCTTCCCCACAGGGAATCCACTTCTCCCTCTGCCTATGTCTCTGCTTCTCTCTGTCTCTCACGAACTTAAAATACTGTTACCAGCCAGACCCTAAGACTTGTACTCATGCCCACCGACCTTTGTCCCACATTTTTCCTTAAGCTCTTCTTTCCAGCTTACCTCAACTCAGGCAAAAGACCAGAGGAGCGAAACATCCACCCTGTGATGGAAACTTAAACTACCCCTCAAGCAATAATGTCTGACTGGGCAGGGTTCTCCTGAGTATCACATGAGCAATTTGAACTCAAACTCTGGCTCACACCTGCACAGATGGACAATGAAATGGCCTGTGAAGTCACCAACAGTTACCTTTCCCTCATTATAATACTTTATTATTATATAATATAACAGCATAAAATCTCCACCCAAGAAGGGGGGAAGACAAGCCTCATTCACTCACTATATCATGTACATACAGGCATGTTTTCTTAAGGTACATGTGTGACTTTATGCCTGCCTCTACATTCAATGACCAAGCTCCCTTCTAAATATTCATCCTAACCCTAAATAAAAGGAAGCCATTCATCCTTGCTTGGGGACTCACCGCTTTGAAAGTTATTCCCTGTGATTTCCTTATATGTTGCAAATAAAATTTTGCTTTGTGCGACAACTCCACTTGGCATAGATCCTATCTGTAACTTAGCAAAGAGGGAACTCACTATGTTAGTTCAGTTACGATACCATTACATACCTAACAATGGTTAAAATTAAAAAGTTAACATCATATGCTAACAAGCATTTTTGGCAACTAGATTGCTCATTCATTGCCAGTGGGAGTATAAAATGACACAACCACTTTAGAAAACTGTTGGGCGATTTATTATAAAGTTGAACTCCTAACTCAGCAATTCCATTTCTGGATGACTACCAAGGAGAAATGCAAGTGTATATACATAAAGACTCGTCCAAGAATATGGCAGATTAATTCAAAATAGCCTAAAACTGGAAATAACCTAAATATCCATTAATAGATGAATGGATAGATTGTGGTATATGCAAACTATTGGAATATTGCTTAGCTATACAAAGAAATGAACTATATGAATGCAACGCAAAATCAGTATGCTGAGTTAAGGAAACTAGACACAAAAGAGTATAATTCCACTTATGTGAAATTCTGAAACAGTTGAAACTAATCTATGGTGAAAAAACTAGCTTGGGGGAGAAGGAGGGGTTGATTGTGAGGGCCGTAAATGAACTTTCTGAGGTAATGAGAATATTTTATATCTTTTTGTTTGTTTGTTTTATATCTTGATAGGTAACGAGGATACATATGCTTATCAAACTATAAGTTATCTGGAGGTGGCTGGCTGGCAGGCAGTATAGTATGTGACTCTTGATCTCAGGGTCATGAGTTCAAGCTCACGCTGGGTGTATAGGTTACTTTAAAAAAATTTTAAAGTTTAAAAAAATAAGTTGCAATTGAATTTTTATTATTTTTTAAAGATTTATTTATTCATGAGAGTCAGAGAGGCAGAGACAAAAGCTGAGGGAGAAGCAGGCTTTCCACAGGGAGCCTCATCCAGGGCTCTATCCTGGACCCATGAGCTGAAGGCAGACGCTCAACTGCTGAGCCACCCAACCATGAGTCCAGCAGCAATTGAATTTCTTTAAAAAAAGATTTTTAGATCTGTTCATTTTACTATCTGTATTACTATATGTAATTTATGCCTCAATTTTAAAATAATAACAGTCATATTTTGGATCAATTGGGTAAGTCAAGCTTAGATTTAGTCAGCAATTTCCAGGATATAAGTTTGAAGTAGTGTTAGCCATTGCAATGGTACTGTGACCTAGGCTGCATTTGGAAGTTACTCAGATCAGAGGGCTGAAAGTTATTAGCAGAAGGGAGGAGGGGGAATAGGGACAAAAGCAGGGTATGAATGTTTTGTTTTGCCAGACCAGTATTTCCTGCCAAGGAGACATCTGGCTAGGTATTTTCCTGATAGCCCTGTAATGAGCCATTCTGAACTAATTTGGAGCTGAGGACCTGCACAGAACTTACCTCTGCTGTCCTGAAGTTACCCTTAGCTCATTACAATACTAAGATCTTCAGTGGGTGATGTTTTCTGCCATTTTTTTGAACATTCAGTGTCTATGCTCTAGCATGTTGATGAGCTAGGCATGCGTAAACTAAAGTGCCTAACTAATAGAATATGTATACATTCTTTAATGTACATGGAAGCTCCCTGCCCCCTAATACACCAAATAATTTACTAACCCCATGGGGAGATAGTGCTTTGAAAGCTATCCTTGTCTCTTAACTTGTAAGAAGTAATAAAAAGTTACTTGCTTTCAACACTTCTTTGGGTTGTATTCAATTTAATACACCCCAAGAGGTGAACCCCCAAGTTCAGTTACAGTACAAATGATGAACTACTTGGACAGTATTTACATTTTTAAACTCATTAGGACCTAAGAAATCAAAATAGTTTTCCTTGATGGGATATGCACACATTTTTTCAAGTTTAAGATATATATCTCATAGTTATAATGATACCCCAAGGGCAAGAACAAAGGTTTTTATTTCTTCTTTTTTACGACCTTGTAACACTCTTTTAAAAATTACCTTGGATTCCACCATTCTAGCTGTTTTCCTGTCTCTGTGATTCCTATTCCCACATGAATGGCTCTGTCCCAAACTCTCT